ATCTGTCCAAACATCTCTGGGGTTTGTGTGTGGCGGCGTTCAGAGTAACAGCGTCTGTGAGCGTTCATAAGACGCTCCGCTGCGGTGACCGGCCGCGTGCATCTGAAGAGACACTGTTTCATCACTGCTGAGAAGTGTTTTAGAGAGGTTTTGTGACAAACGGCTGCACACTTCAGCTCACAGATAATGATTCATGTGGCAGAGGTGGCCTGAACCTCTCACAGAACAAAACATTAGAGTGAGAGCTCGAGGAAGATGTCAAAAACTACACTTTTACAAATTCTGGAGAAAATGTGAGAGGTTTATGTCTCACAGGCATGATGCTAGAGTGGTTACTTACTGGTCTAAGACAAACAGCCCAGCTGCAGGACTCTAGGATCTTCTAGTTAAATGATATATGGAAAATTCATAATATATTTGCAATTCATTATAAAATTAAACAACATGAATATGTTTTAATCAAATCTGTAACAAATACATCAGTAATTTTATTGCTGTGAACCAGTGCTGAACTGTACTATATATATATATATATATATATATATATATATATACGTATACATATATTAGAGATGAATGATTGAATGTACGGATGGATAGATAGAGATATTGACTATCATTCAAAAGTTTAAGGTCTCTTCTACTCACCAAGACTTATTTGATCAAAATTACTGCAAAAACAGTAACATTGTGAAATATTATTACAATTTCAAATAACTTCTTTCTATTTGAATATATTGTAAATTATAATTTATTCCTGTGATCAAAGCTGAATTTTACTCCAGTCTTCAGTGTCACATGATCTTCAGAAATCATTCTAATATGCTGATTTGCTGCTCAAGAAACATTTCTGATTATTATCAATGTTGAAAACAGTTGTGCTGCTTCATATTTTTATGGAATCAGTGATTTATTAAATTTTTTGTTAATTTCAGGACTCTTTAAAGAATATAACGTTGAAATTAACAGTATTTATTCGAAATATAAATATTTTGTAACGTAATAAATGTCTTTGCTGTCATTTTTAATCAATTTATGCATTCATTTAGTATAAAAGCATTAATTTATGATTTAAGTATAATTTTATTGATCCAAATAATATTGTCAAAAGAATAAAAAATATTAAATTGTTTTAGTTATATCGCTCAGCTCTACCACAAGCGCTGCAGGACTGAAGTTTATTACTTAGTGTTAGTACTCTAACGATGAGCAACAGTAATAGTGACGCTTGTCTTAGCAAACAACACTAATGAGACCAAACGAGAGGAAAAGAGACGGGAAGTGTGATTTTGTGATGAAGCGAGGAAGTGATTCCAAAAGGGCTCGCTGTTGGCTCATCAGGACTGATTGAAGTGGGCTGTTGAATCATCTTGTGGAGTCGGGACAGGAGAGGAACACTGCAGATGTCCAGTTCCACAAATTAAAGACACACACACACTCTCTGCCCCAGGGACCGGGCTCGGCTTCAGCCTGTCACAGGTAACAGCCATTGCTCTTCTGAGCCGATGACACAAGTCTGTCTCTGACTCTCTTCACTTCTTCCCTCTACAAACATCAACACCATCTCTGCTGGTAATTGCTAACAGCTCTGACGCTCTCACAGAATAAGGAAGAGAAAAATATACTGGGAGAAAAAAAGAGAAAGCAACAAATAGACCTCAAAGAGCAATGGAAAAGTGTGAAAAAGACAAACGAGAAGACATGTGAGATCCGCTCTGAGGAACAGGACGTGAAAAGCAGAGTAACTAGAAGTTTACTGAAGAAACCTTTGCACAGATTCATCATCCAAAACAGATCAAATTACAACATTTTCCAGCATTTATAACCAATTTCAGTGAGGTTTTATGCTGCTTTCGACTCGTGTTTAATATTATGGTATATTATATTTATGAGCTGAGTATGCATGAACAGCACCAAAAGCCATAATTACCTCTAGGATTTTCTTTGAGGCCTATTCATGAAAATCTCGACAGCAAAAGCTACTCGCTTCTTATTAAATTTTAATTTAGACTGTTGAAAGTACAGTTTAGTTTCTATGCATTTTGTGCGACAAAGAAAAGCAATAAAACGTTCTAAAAAAACGTTATCATTAAGATGATTTATGAGGCAACAAGATTATGTGACAAAACTACATTACCCATCATTCAGTGCTGCAGCACTACAATGATAAACTAGATATATGCATTGCATAAATGCATCTCATCTCTCTCTTTCTCTCTCTCTTTAAATACACTGGAAAAAATGTAGTTTAGAATCAATTTTCACTCAAAAAATCCTAGTACATTTTAAAAATAATCACAAAGAACATTAAACATTAAATTAAAGATGAAAATTCTGAAGTAGAAAAACACTGAAATAGTATTCTTTGTAAAACTTACTCCAATAAGTTTTTTACAGTGGAAAAAAGTTAAATCAATATTAAATTGCAGTCTATTTAACTCCTAATTTAAATCATTTTTAATCATTTCTGAATTTATAAGTATACAAAAAAATATTGAAAATAAATGCTCTACCAACAAAAGTGCAACCAAAAAAAACAAAACAAATAAGAAAAAGGTGTAACACTTTTTTTATTTTTCCATAAAAATAAAATCTAAAAATCTTGAAACAAGATACATTTACTTGAGAAGCAATATTGCATCGCATTGGCAGAATTGTATAGAGTCTTAACTTTGATAAAGAATATCTCTTTGGGTTTATGACTTTAGTCTTTGCAACTTCAGGGATCTTATCTATGCACAATCAGCTTGTAACACTCCAAAGAGAAAGGAAAACTTGAAATCGCATCATATGACCCTTTAAAACAAATGAAAAAAAATCCACCAGTGTAGTTAGACAAAATACTCTTAAATTCAAGTTGCAATCCATAAAAATAGTTCATAATATATTATAAAGTGTTGCATCTCAAGTAAGTTTATCTCATTTTAAGGACATTTAGATATTTTTAATTGGAAACTAGTCAAAAAAGACTAATTAAAAACTAGTTTTGCACCTGAAAGGTTTTAGTTTAGATCATATTCAACAAATCCAATCAGTCTGATCTGTTTTGCATGGGTTCATATACTGTCATTTTTCTCTGAATACGTCCATGTGTATATTTTACGGCTTTATTTGTGTACTGATGTTGGCTTCTTCTCTGGCAGATGTCCGCAGGTTAAGTCTCAGTGAGCGGCGGCTCTATTAAGCTTTTAAAAGCACCAATTTTCAGTGTGTGCGTGTGTGTGTGTACGAGGGTAAACAGCACATTTTGTAATAAGTCTGGCACTTCAAAAGGACCGTTTGAACCCCGTGGAATGGCCTCGCCTCGCTTCCATTTGGAGTCTCACAATATCACCTTTTTTGTGCTGAGATGAGGACGGAGCCTGACAGCCCAGGCGAGAACACACGGCCACAGAGATTTAGGATCAAACAGCTGGAAAATGAAGCCAGTGAGGAATAAAGTTGCAGATTGAAATGTATTGAATACACTTAGCTACGCAAGCAATTCAATATTCAGGCTGAAAAACAAACCAGTAAGAGCCATATGTGCTAAACATATAGAGAACTTGTAGTGGGAACTTTATATTATTCTATTTTCAAACTAAAAAAGCAGCATTGAATGAATTAAGCTTAAAATATTCAAGAATATTTTGTTTAAATGCTGACTTATGTGCTACATAATTAGCAAAAGTGTGTTGCAGCACCTTTATTGTATTACAGTTTTGGGGTTTTAGACATGTTTACATGCATTTTTACCAATTAAAATTTTTTTGTTTCTCTAATAAACAAGTACTGTGGTGGTATCATGGTAAAGTGTTGGTATCAGATGGTAATATCATTGTTCTTTGATATATGCCATGATTGTGATTAATAACCATAGTCAAATGCCTTGGTATTTACATGCCACTGTGCATTAAAGAATACCATGATTTTACCATGAGACAAAAACCTTTAAGAGTGAATTTCATCAATTACATTTTGAAATTGTATTCCCCAAAAAATGTCACAGTGTAATGTGAATGGTTTTCACTTAATACAATGCTAATCGTATTTCAGTAAATCTCATTAAAAGCATGTCAAATTCAAAATCTAAAATAAAATAAAAATGATGATATATAAATAAATAAATTAATTAATTAATACATTTTTGTATGTCCTTTAGGGGTGAATTTCATCAAAGCTGTGAAGAACATGCCTTGGTCAAATTTTATTCAAAATAAATAAATAAAATTATGCAAACATATTTATTTATACACTGTGACATTTTGGGGATTTTTTTTCTTTTAGATTTAGGGTTAGACGTTTTTCATGAGATTGACTAGTAAATATACTATTACAAGACGAATGCAAATAGTGCAGAAATGCACAGATGTCTAGGGTTAGTATTTAGTTACTATGTTCAAGAGACAGATGGTGAGGTAGATGTTCTATTTACTGCTTATATTCACTCTGTCACTGTTATCACTGACTGTGTGAGGCGTGATGCACGAGCACAACACAGATAAATACAGTTTGATGTCCTGCATCTCATGCATATGAAGAAACAAACTCATCTACATCTTGGTTGGCCTGAGGGTGAGCACATTTTCATTTTTGAGTGAACTATTCCTTAATTGATTTCTTCTGGTTAGTACTTGGTTGAATGTACGTTCCTGGTCTTCATGTGTACAATTTAATAATAATAATAATAATTATATATATATATATATATATATATATATATATATACAGTATATATGAGCTTCACTCATAAATACTATAAAAAGTATCATGCTACAAATTTCTGATGTAAATGCTGTTCTGTTTCAGCAACAGCTGAATGCAAATAATGCATTTTAAACTATTCTACATTTTAAACCATTTCTCCCTTTTCATTATCTCAGACATCCTATTTGTCATTGACCCATAAATGGAAATACAACACAAACAGAAACAATGTGAACTTACAGTCTATGGAACTTTTCTTACAAGAAAAGTCCAAGATCATGAAAAACACATGACTACATACAGCCACACGTCACAGTGTTTTGCGTGAACACACGCATGTCACGCACAACGGCAGCCCGTCTCTCACCTTTCTTGGATGGACAGATGGCGTCGACCACTGGAGAAAAACGCACACAACACACACAACTTCAGAACATAATCATCTACAACATTCATCAACACACACCAAAAATAAAACAATTATTATGAAAATGAAAGTGATTACAAAATAATGAATTTCACATATTACTGTAAAACCATAATGGAGGCTCACACCTAGAAAATGTGTTGAACGAATAGATCACCCAAAAATTAAAGTTTGCTGAAAATGTACTCACTCTCAGGCCATCCAAGATGTAGATGAGTTTGTTTCTTCATGGGAACAGATTTGGAGACAATGGATCATCTGCAGTGAATGGGTGCCGTCAGAATAAAAGTTCACAGAGAGTTTGCAGCTTTTCACCTCACAAGACGTTAACTGATGGACTGGAGTGGTGTGGATTATTGTGATGTTTTTATCCGCTGTTTGGACTCTCATTCTGACGGGCCCACCAATTCACAGCAGAGGATCCATTGGTGAGCAAGTGATGGAATGCTACATTTCTCCAAATCTGATGAAGAAACAAGCTCATCTACATCTTGAATGGCCTGAGGATGAGGACATTTTCATTTTTGGGTGAACTATTCCTTTAACTGTACCCAAATTACAAATGCCAACAATGTTCAATAACAAAAATATCAGTATGTTTGCATGTACAGAATGACAATATTTGATAATTGAAAGGGTTGGAGATGATTTATGCACATTAATGAGTAATCACCCAGCCGTATTTATCATTCATCTCATAGCAGACATTCACTTGATGGCTGGAGCTCACCAAGACAGAAAAATAACATCACTCGCATGTGTGTTCATGATTTTTGAAACATGCATTTGTGCATATTTGCTTTGTCCAGCATGCGCAAAAACCCCCGTGACAGGAACTTCCACTAGAAACCACATTTCAATGGGATAAATCAGCAAATTCAGTGTCAGTTTCTTTCTGTTACTCAACAGCTATATAAAGAAACTATATCTTGATATTTTTTAGCCTTTTGACATTATTCAACATAAATCTCAAACATATTTACGGTACAATTTTTTTTTTAATTTACAAAATTCTTTGTGATAAATGAAATGTCACCAAAATCACCACTAATATTTTCAGTCCTCAATATATCACCCAGTCCTCCACACATACACACATTCAAACCCCCACGTGACAGTGAGCTGAACTTTCACATGATCGTCAGTGGCAGTGGTTCAGAAGTGCTTTAGCTCAGAGATCCTCAGAGAACAGCACTCAGCTCCTGACAGTGAGGTCCTTCAGATCCTCTGTCCCTCCCGCAGCACGGCCTGACCCTTCTCAATATTCACTAGGGTCTTTGTGGTAATCAAGCGGCTCTCAGAAGCTCAGCTTATCTCCACAGTCCCGGTCTCTGCTCTCATTCTCTCGTTCGCTTCAGCAGCAGCAGGTAATGACAAAGGAACTGTCTCTGCTGCACGTGTGAATGAAGCGAAGTGCTCACATCAAACCGAGCTGCTTCCTCTTGCCAAAACCTCAAGCCTCTTTTAAGGCAGCTCTATTGTTTCGCCTCAGAGTCGGTGATGGTGACAGGGATCTTTCTTTGTGCCGTCATACAATGAAGTACTGTTTTTGCCCAAAAGACTGCCAACTCATAAGAAACACACTATAAACCTGCCGTAATTTTCGGAGACG